AAATTTAAATAATAGTGAAAATGTCATTTAAGTCATTAAATGCAAAAATAATGACTATTAAAAATTTTTTTTTTTTGTTTGTATAAAAAGTAAAAGTTTAGGTAAATCGGAAAAATAAAAGTGTTATATTTTTTTATAACGATATAGAAAATTAATATTTAATTACAATTAGAATTTTTTTTGTAATATTGAACTTTTTTCTAAAAATAGAAGTGTAAATTTTGTGATAATAGAATCGCATAAAATTAAATATAGAAAAGTCTAAGTCTAGAGTTTTTGTAGTTCTAAGTTCAATTCCGAATCAAAAGCTATTTGAACAGTTTTATTAATGGTATGAATGGAAATTAGTGCAGAAATTTTTGACGAAAGCAAAAAAAACATTAGAAGATTTTTCAAAAAATTAAAATTTAATTAAAAAAAAAATTCTCTTTCTTACAATTACTCTCTTTCTTTAATTACTAAAACACAGCGAAGATTTTAGTAATGCATTTTTAATTTTAATGCATTGAATTGATTTGAACTGAATGCTCACTTTTTTTTAACCACGTAACAATAACTGCACTTAAAAAGATTATAAGAACATTAAAAACATTTGAGATTATGAAATTATATTGTAGATACTGTTGTATAACAGTTTGATTAATAAATATATGAATTAAATTTAAATTATTGAATTTAAATTCAATAAATTAAATTTGATTATTGCATTTATTGTACTTTTACTGAGCGTCTATAAAGAATATTAAATTAATTGCATTCAGTTATAATAATAAGTACGTTGAATTAAATTTTACTGTCTTATAAATAGTACAGTTTTAGAATTTTTATATTCTAGGAGTGATCTTCTGTCTGTTATTGATTCAGGTTATCGAATTGGATTCAAATATTCGAAGAATATTTAATGAAGTATAACACTTTTAAAACTAAATAACAAAAAAAATAGCGTTCGATTCGTAATATTACAACTAGTTTGGAGTGTTATACTCCTGTAAAAGGACCGCATCAATTAAGTAACATTATTTTTCTTTAACTATTTTTGAAAAAAATATCGAAACATAACTTTCTTATACAAATATACGATCATAAGTTCACTAATTATAGATTATGTACGCAGATGTTATTTTTAACAAACATTTTATTACCAGTCTCTATAAATAAATTATCATCAATAAAAATATTTTTTTTTTTTTGATAAAATTTTAATAAACTTAAATTAAAATATGCGCAACATAATAATTATTACAATTTTTTGATTCTTAATAAATGTAAATACAATATATACATATACATATATATATATACAACGTATATTACGATAAGGACATACAAAACTCAAAACTAAATTGATTACGAAGGGCAATCTCAATTTTTCGAATTTTCACAATTGTGAATTTTTATAAGCACAACGCAAACAAAATTCATAGACGCCGTCTATAAAACACGTCACTGAGATTACGGCAATAATTTATAATATTTAAAATATTTATGACAGCGTTGCATTAGTTTTTTTTAAATAAATTAAGTCTGATTTCGAAAAATTTTACAATATAGGTAATAGTTTTGAATTTAATTTTTTGTCTTCAGACCCTTGGGTAACGAACAGCATAAATTATATTCAAACCACAATTATTATGTACTGTACAAGACAAGCATATAAAAATATCAAATTTGCAGCTGACTGTAATTTGTTATATATGTAGTTACAATACAATCATTCTCTCAAATACAACTTTATAAAAAAATTTCAGAAATTTTATAATTTTTCAAAAATTATGTAATAAGGGCTTGTAATAATAATCACTGACTAATTTTTCTACCTTTATGTATGTATGTATAAAATAATAATTCAAATGAATTATCAGTTCAGGGTCTCTTTAGCATGGCTTTCTAAATTGCTAGCATAATTAAGTAGAAACAATTTGTCGTAATATATTGACAACTAATTATTATAGATTTGGAATATTTTTTGAAAAATAATCAAATGTAATTATTTGTGTCCCCTCAAATTTAGTAAATAATAATTATTAATTTATAAAAATAAACAAAACAATTTTAATACAAATTTATTTTCAACGTTTAAAATATAATTTAACAGTAAATTAAACATAATATAACAATAATTTAATTACAAATTACCTAAAATTATATTAATTTAAAAAATTGTAATAATTGTTATACGAAAGCAAAATGATAAACCACAAATTATAAAAAATAAAACATTCTCGATAATTCTAACTAACTAAACATACTCGAGTTAAGCGTTCTCAAATCTCGTACAGCGCACCGCTAATAAAATTTTTATTACACTTTTCAAATACAAATCAAAAATAATAAAAAATTTTATAATTATAGAGCAAAACATAACAAAATTGTTATAAAAAATTTGGCAAAAATTTGAAAAACAAAAATTTGGAATTAAGTTCAGATTACATACAATAACATTGTAATAAAATATTTTTAATATAAGTTCGGAAATTTGTTATACACAGACTACAGTTATGATTTATGACTAATGAAATATAAGAAATACTTTTTATAAAAATATTTAATTTTTAGCAAAAAAAAAAAAACGATGCGATAAAATTAATAAAAGAATTTTTGCTTTTAAAGTAGAACAGAAAAATTTCACTGCCGTCAGCATAATATGCACTTGTAATAAATTTATACATACATACATACATACATATATATGTATGTGAAATTTGAATTCTTATTTTTAAAATTCTAAAAATGTATGTATAGGTAGTAAAATTTATAAGCATACATACATATATACATAAATATTTTGTTTATTTTTGGAAATATAGAATTTGTATTGGTACCTATACAATAAGAATATAAAACCTATTGTTCGCGAATCAAAATATCTTTGAAGAAAAATAGTTCAAATCAGTCTCACTAGTCTCAACATAACTTCCAGCAAAGTATATTGATTTTGATAGTGCAAAATAAATAAAATAACCCTTTAATTTATAGTACTTTCTCAAAATATTATCAATTTGACAATCATATCAATCACAGTAACAACTTGCATCAGTAACAAAAACTGGAATTTATGGCGCTTGTGTCAAACTGTATTGGAATTGTGTGCACTGAATAATGTTCTGCAAAAATGATTACATTCCCAAAAAAAAAAAATTTGCGCAATTTTTTTGCACCATTTTTCAATATAAGAATGCGATATTATGCATTGAATTATTAGTTTGAAATCCTTCCGTCAAACATACAGGTACCGTATAACATTAAGTGCTTTGATCTGCTCAAATTTTTAAAAATTTTTATTTCGGCCCATAACCTTATAAAATGTTGCAAATTTTTTGCTATACCATGATCATTTCATATAATTTTGTATAATATTATACATACACAAAACAAAAAACTGTTATAATCATGTGTTAGGTAGAAAATGAAGAAGAATTGAAAAAAATGTTGAGGAGTGTAAAACAGATGAAGAAAACAGAAAAATTTTCCATTCTTTCGATTTGCATACATACATTCATACTTATTTATATTGGAATAGGTAGTAAAGAAATTTTATTCTGAGTTTGGTAATAAATGCTTCAAAATTCAATTTGTTTAGGTAGAATTTTTTTTTGATAATAGTATACATAAACACAAACAAATGTAAATTAAAATTAGAGAGAAGCTAATGGTCAACAGAGCGAAGATTATTATTGTCTATTTAGAATATGGCGTAAAATTCAAAGTTTTCAATATTTGGAAATAAAATACTAATATGTGACTGGAACGAATTTGTTTGGTTGCAATTCAATTAATTGCATTGGGTCTTAGTGTATTAACCCTTCTTAACAGTGTTCTAGAAATAAACATAGATAATTATGTGTTAACAACAATTATTACTAGTGTCGTAAATGGAAATTTGAATTTAAAAAAAAAAATAAAATTTAAAAAACGTGCTATTAAACAAAAAAGAGAAAATCTGAAAATGACTTTGTTTTTCTTTTTCGTACACTTGCACATAAGTAAGTTTTCAGTTACATATGTTGGAAGTTAATATTGGTACATAAATTTGATAAGTAAATATGAACATAGTAACAATAAACAGTGTTGAAAAGCAAAGAAGAATTGGAGAATAATAAGAACTGGACGAATTTGTGCAATAAGTGTGTATTTTTTTACTTTGAAGTGTTGAATAACACTTAATCTTTAAGCAAATTAAACTCTTCATATGGTATTCATTAGATTTAAAAGCGTCCAATGGTATAAGTTCTACAGCGTATACACCAGATGCAACTCGAACCATTGAATTTTAATTAAATTTATTATGAGAATGTCACAAAGAAATCAATCAGTTGTCAACTCAGAATGATTTGAGTGAACAAATGAGAAATGAATGCATTTGGCAAAAAAAAAAATTATTGTTAAACAAAAACCAGAGTCAATTAGAGTTGCTGACATTTTTCATTATTAAGCGCATATCCAAGTTTTCTTAATTAATTTTATAACTAAATTTAATCCGACTATAAGTAGTACCCAAATAACATTTTGATTTCATCTTATTATATGTATGTATACAATATACATACATATGTATGTTTTTTAAAAATTCGAACTTAAGTTTGTTCAAAATCCCAATTTTCGGAAATCAATGTGACAAAAAATTGTGCTGTTTAAAATTTGCATTCATTAATATTACAAGGAAGCGATTAACAACATATTCAAATATCAATTTTGATATATTTTGCCCTAACAGGTACCTACTTTACTGCATCAAGCATGACATAATCCCAAAAAACCATCTTGATCTTCGAAATTTAAACTGATCTTGTGCATATAGTAAAAGTAGGTAAAACAAAAAATAATCTAAATTTTTACTCAATTTTTTTGAAGAATTCTTAAGAAATGGAAGGTAGTAGATTTAATAAAGTCAGCCATTTTTACCTACTTGCTCTGCTAATAATTTTAAGGTTTAATGGTTGCGCTGCTATAAAATTAATAAGATCATTTTAAAATTTTTTCTTAATTCTTTTTTTACTCACTTTCTTTTAAAATTTTGTGAAAAAACACTTTGTTTTCCTGTTTCTTATTTGCAAAATTTTTTTTTTATATTTTATTTTAAATTTATTCGAATTTTAACTTTAACTTTTTTGCACAATCACAGGTAATTTTTTTCTCTTATATTTTTTCAATATTTTTTATTTTCTTGCTAAAAATATTTTTTTTTATTGCTCATGTTCTTTTCGCTTATACTTATACTTCTTAAAAGTTGTTCTTTTTTTTGATTCTTGTTTGAAATTTCAGCAATAGAATTGTTGTTGTAGTTGGTGGATGGTTATTTATGCAGGTATTATTGTTGCTCCGATAATTTTTTTTAATTGTTAACTGATCTGCTGAAACTGAAGTCAGTCAGAACAAATTTACATTTTCAAAATGTTTTTTTCTTTTCTCTCAATATTATTTTCTTAAATAAAAAAAAATTTTGCAACTTAACCTTAAAAGATTTTGCAAATAACCAACTTTCTATTTAATTCTTCTTAAATTTTATAATTAAATACAAAAAAAAAAATTATTTTCTTAAAGATTAAAACAAATCAAGAAAAATAACAACAACAAAAAAACAATTAAAAATTTTAATTATAAACAAAATAAAAATCGATTTAAGACAAAAAAAAATATAATCGTATCGAAACGCCGCGATTCTTAAAAAATTTTTGTTCTTTAAAAAGATTATTAAAACGTGTCTGCCCGTCAACAGATGCTTAATGACTAAAATTTTAAAATTTTATACCGTTTTACTATAAATCAAATAAAATAAAAGAAAGAGAAAAAAAATATTAGAAAAACGACAAAAAAAAATTAATTTTTTTTTATTTTTATTTTTTTTTTAGTACTTTTCCAACAAAATTTAGGAAAAAGCGCTTATTAATTTCAATCTGATCTTCTGTCCGTCCGTCCATGTGTTTGTTAACGAAATTTCTACAACCTTGCAAAATTTTATATAAATAAATAAAATTTCCGTGGGAGAAAACTTCCCCTACCAAATTATAGCTCTCCAAAATCCTGAAAAATTTCATTTTTTCACTATTTGTCGTAACGAAAATACAAACATTTTTTAAATTCTGCAAGGGCAACAAAATCACTGATTGTCACTTCTATCGCACCACAGCACAATTAAACATTAAAAAAAAACAAAATTGCCATTAAAATTTACCGTTATCTACAAATTGGTTTTTGTTTTAAAATTTTTGATACCGTTTCTCTTTTAAGCAATAAACTGTAGTTGCAATACTAATAAATTTCGTTAGAAGGCAATTTTTTTTCAACTTCCATCCCCTCTCAAGTTATCGACTTTCGAAATTTGTAAAATTGCCACTCTCGACTTTTTATATTCCTGAAACTGTAAGCTTTTCCAAATGTTTTGAAGGGAAAAGCGCTATTTTACGAACCATTGGCTTGGCCCAACTTTATTTTATTGCCATTTATTTTATTTTTACTTTAGTACTCTGTTCTTCACTCCAAATTTTTTTTTTTATTTGGAGAATTTTTCGTCATGAAGTTTTTTTTTTTTTAATATTGACAAATATTCTAAAAACACTATTCAGAAATGATTTCAATAAAAACAAAAAAAAAATAAAAAAAAAATTATTATTTTATTGCTATAGAAATGTCAAACGCCACATATACAATTAAGCACACACCGGCAAATCAAAATACATGCATATTTATGTACACAAATGGTAATTTGTATATACAATCATACATTCATAATAATGTAATAAACATTATTTTGTAACTTTATCAACTATTAAACTTCACCACAAAAAAAAAAACTGACTATTCGCTTGATCGTTTACTCCCCACATTATTTCATATTTATTAATATACAAACGTATGTCTTAATATGTATGTATGTATGTACATAAAATCGATCATATTCGTTACGAATAGGGTGAATGATCAAAGTATATTGTAAGTAGATAAGTAAGTAAAATTTAACATCAAACTTGACGTGTAAATCAACATTTATAACATTGACATTAACTTGAAACGTGTAAATCAAACTTTAAATTTTAAAACTTGACGTGTAAATCATCATTTATAACATTGACATATCAATTAATTATTTTATTCTTTGTCAAATTAATATTCATTTTTTGGTTTCGAATAATAATTCCTAAATTATACTTATTGTTAGAACCAAAGTAGGTATATGTATAGAAAGATTCTATTACTCAAAATCCGCTACTTTCGCTCTAAAATCTGCTTCTTTCGAAATAATTTCTACTAAGTTTTACCACTTTTTGTCATTTATGAATGTTCCCTGTGGCCTATATATTTTTTGCCATGTAAGATTTGGTGGATTCAAAATTTCTCTTTTCGCCCGATCGTGTTTTTAATACATGCACCAGAGAATAATGTTTATAGAGCTTTTAAATTTCCAAACAAATAAGCTTTATAATTTTTAATATACAGTTTATTTGTGAATGATGTATTAGAAATCTTTGGACCGTATATGCTTTTCAAATCATTATTTATAAAAACCACTAGAAATTGAAATTAGAATTAAAGAATTTTCTTTCAAACGTGCATAACTATTAATTCACTGAAATTTGATACTACACCTTGTATAACAAACGCATAAAAACAAACTATGCACATACACATTCATGTATGTGTAAATGTTTACGTTAATTATTATGTGTGTGCATATTTATAACGGTGAATAAAATCAAATATATAACATAAGTTAAGCACGCGACTCTATAATATTTTCATTTGCTTTACTTAAATGCGTTACTTTTATTGTACTTACGAATTAAGTACGTGTATGCATGTAGAGACATGTATAATTTTCTCTTTTGTACTCACATAATATTGAATAAAGTGAAACATAAATAAAAGGCAAGGCAACTGGTCTGGTATGAAAATATGTGCACATACATATTATATACATATGTACATAAGTGTGTGCAAATCGATTTCCAATGCTCTCTTGATTATTGACCGGAATAAAAATATTACCGATTTTTCAATTTACCATTGAGTATCCCTTTTGTGCTTTCTTTTTTTTTTTTCAAAACATGAAATTTTATGTTGTTTACTTGGATGTAGCATTAATGTTAATGAGCTATGCGTGTATTCAGATAACATACGTATTATAAACATTTACTTATGTATTCTGTATGTATACGTTCATATTATGTTCGTACATACATATAAATACATATGTGTGTACGTGTATTCTATATGAATTTTGTTGCGGAAAAGTACTTTTGTTCGGTCTTCAACTTAAAGTCATGACGATGCATTTATATGTAGTATTATGGTATCAAAAACAATATGACGTGCTGTTACTATATTTAAATACTATGTACTAGTTACAGAAATGATTACGTGTGACGTTACGTGATTACTTTTATCTTAATTTTTGGTTATTTAATTTTTAATAATCATAGAAAATTATATTAGTTTTCAATTTATAGCTGCGGAATTATATGTGGGGAAGGGATGGCGAGAAATTTAAATGCCTCAAATTTCAATAATTTCGAAAATTGATCGAGACTTTTCAGAAACATCGGCGAATAAACTCAAATATAACACGTATCAATTCAACAACGGTCGATTTTTCGGAAAGTGATCTTAGAAAATTGTAATACTGTAAATTGTAATACGGTAAATTGTAATACTGTAATACAAACTAAAATTTATTTAAATTAGGTATAACAAATTTATTTATTAAATTTTAAAACTTTTGTATTTAAATTAACACTAATTAATTTCGAAATTGTAAAAAGTACTCACTTTATGAAAGTAAGTACGTCTATAGCAATATCAATTGTAATTTAAATTCAAAGAAGAACACACTTTGAATACAAAATTTTATAAAAAAAAAAATAATTTTCTTTTAAGAATTATTATAACGTTTTAAAATATAATAAGCTATAGGTATAGGTACCGTGTTTAAGTAGGTCCTATAAAATTCAATTTGTATAAAATAAAAGAAAAAGTCTTTAAAAATTATATTTAACTCACTTTTTTAATTGAAATTCATTAATATTTTTTTTTTTAGAAATTGTATTCAGGATAGCAAGTGATCCAATTTTTGCCTGAAATAAAAAAGGAATCGATGGTCCTTTATATTTACTTTTTATAAAATTCGCAAAAATCATAATTTCCTATTGTAATGTTATTGTGTACATACTCGCTCTCTCTCTCTCTCTCTTCACTCTCTCCTTTCCATCTCTTTAATTTATGAATTTTTTTTCCCCGATTCTCAATAGCCCTTAGGCGTTTTTAATATAGAACAAAAATGAAAATGAGGAAGAATTACAAAGTTTTATGGCCCACTTCAAGACGAAATTTATGTTTAATTCATAAAAATTAAAAGAAAAACTAAAAATCATTTTATTGTTTTTCAAATGAAAAACCTCATCGGAAATATTTTTTTTGGATTTAAATGAAAAATTAAATTTGAAAAAACAAAAAATAAAAAAAAAAAACAGAATTAATTCCGCCCCACGGCTCGTTTTAGCAAAATTCACTTTAAAAATTTGCTTTTTGGTTTTTTATTGAACTTTAATAATTAAATGAACAATTTAGAATTTTGTTTTTTTTAATAATAATCGCTAAATTTATAAATTCAAAATTTTCAACTATACAAATGAGGTTTTTGAAAAAAAAAAAAAGCAATTTAATTTTATTAATTAATATTATTAATTTGTTTGATTTTTAAAATTTAACTTTGTGAAAATGTTGTTCAAAAAGTGTAAGCATTACAATAATTTAATTGCTCAATAATTATGTGCTAATGAATTTTTAACATTAATGAATTGTGAAGTTTAGAATGTGAAAATAAAGTGGCTCTCACAAAATGTTAGTGTGTCACATCTTCGTTGAAATGTAAATGAACTATATTTGAGTTGTTTATTCTATGATTCAGTTTTTCTATAATTCTAAATCACTATAGCATATACAAAATAACATATTATGTATGGCTTACTCACAACATTACTCATTTCAAACAAATGAGTAGTCACGAAGAAATTGGGGTCCAATTTGATTCAAATGTGTGTGATCCAAATGTGTGCGATCCAAATAATGTTGTAGTACAGGGCCGGAGGTATAGTCAGGTGCTCACAAAAAAGTATATTTTAGAAGCAAGTAATGTTCCGGTATAGGGCAGAGGTACATACATAGAAATGCAATCAAAAGCATATATTTATTTGGCTGTTAGATGCCTTAACATCATAATATAGAATCTTGAAATAGTGTGGTAGGGTGTGGAGCGTCATGCTACTCCTTTTGAAACAAATTCTACCCACTCAAAAATAAATTTTTTCTTACAATCTCGGCGACTACAAACTATTGAAACGATTTCACATTATCTACATAATGTAATTCATTAAAATATTTTACCTCTCAAACAAAATTCAAAAAAACAAACAAAATAATAGATGAGAATTTGAGAGAAAAAATTCATATTCGGTGACTAATTAAAATGACAAAAAGTAATTAAATATTTTATCACATAACTTGTTGTTCTACCTTACCTTTATTTATTAACATACAATTTTGCGAATAAGTCATAGATGAAGAAAAAAAAGAAAAAAAAACAAAAATTTTTCATTTTTAAAATAATTTGGAACGTGCGATGGCATGCGGGCTTATCATCTTTAAATCGTTTTCATGTTTAACATTAAATTTTTTTTTCTGAAATTTTTGGTTTTTTTAACTAAATGATTAT